GAATTTACAGAATGAGGATCATGCCTGAAGTTTTTTGGGTAGGGATGTTGGTTTGGGTTTTTTTTAGAAAACATATTTTTAGGATTATAGATAACCACAGTGCACCTGTAGAAATATACTGATCTGTTCTCTCCACACTCCTGTGTTCATGACTAAGATGAAGCCCCTGACACGGGCTTCTCCTAGACAAACATTATCTAAGTGAAGAGTTGAGTTTTAATAGGCACTCGTCCATGTATACCAGGTGACTTTAGGAGGATGAACAGTACTTGACAGAAACTAGTCTGTATCAATTAAGATTAAAAATGCTAATGGAATTAAGACTGTATGAAGAAGCGTTGAGATGAACCAATGCTACTTCACCTCTCCTGTATTGCTTTGCAGATTGAGTTTGACGTAACAAGGTTGGAAATATTGCACTGGAAAATACAAACAGCTATCCAGCTGGGTCCAGGTGGCACACATACAGCACAGTCTCAGCTATGAGAAGGCACATCAGTGTCTGAGTCGTAGTTCCCTCAGAGCCGAGATGTGCCCTTAGAGCCATCTGAGACCTCTGGACTCTGAAATGGCCTTTTCTCCTTGGAAAACAGCGCACTGAATGCATCTCTCTCTAAATACATCCTCAGCCTTCCAGAAAGAAGCAAACACACTGTCAGGTTGTACAACAATCTAGTAACCATGGTCATATTTACAGCGTTCTGTCACCAACACGTCCAGAAACCATTTGCTCCTTTTGCCAACGTCTGTTACCTTCTTCACAAGTTGAGTTCCCAATGCTTGACTCGTACCCAGTGTGGCACTTATACGTATTGGGTTTCAGTAGCCAGGGGCTGCAGGGGAGGGACCCATGTGGGAGAGGGCCATGACCTGCCCTGCCCTGTGCCAGTCACAGCTGCTCCTGCCAGCTCTGAATCCACTGTAATAAAGCCATCATGTGCCAAAACTCCAATCAGTTTGACGAAACCACGATCCATCTTCTAAAAATATATTTTTAAAGGCATGGCAGCTGCTAGAGGCAGGAGAAATGGAGGAGATGTGGGGAGAAGCAGAAGAGACATGTGGAAGGAGATGTTGTTGGGGACACAGCTGGAGATGTGCTCTCAGAAGGAGGCACGTCGTGCTGGGGAGGGATGTCTCCAAGGGGACTGCAGCCTGTGGGTCACCCTCGTTGAGGCAGCAGAAAACAAGTAAGACACAAGGAGCAGTAGACAAAAACAAGTAAGAAACCATGAGCGGCAGCAAGAAGCCATTGCATGCAGGACCCTGACCTCCTCCACTGCCTGTCACCTCACCAAAGGAACTGGGGTGAGCCAAGGGTAACCCACAGCAAAAAATAAGGGAAGTTTGTCCTGAGGACAGAAGGGAGGGAGAGGTGTTTCCCCTAGGTGTTCGTTAAAGTTTTATATTTTGGGCCCGCTCCCCCTGCCCATGTCCAAATCAGCCATCAGAATGTTGTGTTATTTGGCAATAAATTAAACTATATAAAAAAGTCCTCAAGTTGAGACTATTTTGCCAGCAACACCATATGGCTTAAATTAACCATGATGACTACCACTTTCTTACAGCCTCACAACAACAGTAATTGGTAAGGCCCACTGTTCTACATTTTAGCCAATAATGAGGTTTTAACTCTTTCTGGTTCGTGCATGCCTCTCATAATCAATTTATAAGCTACTCTACTGAAAACACATCCATTACAATTCAGTCAGTCCCACTGACAATACTCCTCGTAGGTGCATTTTGCTTTGTACAATCTGGTCTTAATCATCTCAAGAGACAGACCCCTTCGGCTGCCCACAGGGCTATTTCACAGCTTAGCATGTTTGCTGGAAACCTTCTTCTCATATCCAACTTCCTTCAAAAACTTCCCTTTATTCATTTCAAACAAGTGTCATTATTATAACGCTTTGGTACTTCTCACTGAACTTACTTTCTTGTTCCCTAAATTCATTAGATATTAATTCAGCTTTGGGATTTTTTGTTTTAAATAGCTATTTTAATAACCTGTCCATACCAATTTCCTTTTAATATCTGAAATCAACTAGAATGTCCATATTCATTTGCAGAACTGCAAAATAAAAAACAGTACTACAGCAAACAAATTAAATTGTATTCTTAAGGCAGCAGCTATTATAAAGCTAAGACAAGGTTAGGTAAAGATGGTCCTTACTACAGCAATTAGAATCTACTGAAGCTGCACAACAGATATTTCAGCTCTGGGTCTTAAATGAAGGTTAGCCTTAAGGCGAGATATTTCACTTGAAGGGAAGCATTGTATCTGTTTCCAATCACTAGCAATTTCTACGCTGTTACATAAAAAGGCACCTTCTCCCTGCTACTCAGTATGTTCTCAGAAGAAAATCTAAACAGTTTTACCCACTTCTACAGGAAGACAATTCTTCCTGCCAGACCAGTAGAAGTGGGTAGAAAACTGTTTAGAAGTGTAAGTCTCTTCAGGTTCCCCAAATTTACTAATTCCCAGTCTGACACACAAATAAGGACACTGGGACACCAGAAGAATAGTACATCTAGACCAAAACTACTCTTTAAAAGTCTCTAGTCTTGTCACCAAGAAGATGGGAGAAAGTAACACAGGCGGCTTGAGTGCTTCATCCCACTTGCCCTATCAGCAACCAGCTGAACTGTGACTGTACCTTCACAGAGCCAAGGAAAGCTGCAGACAGGACATAGCCAAGGAGAAAGAGAAGTTTATAAACTACCAATAGTAATCAAGGCCTACTGTACTTGAGCAAACAAGCCCTAATTTTCTCTCGGGTTCCCCACATCCAGCAGCCTTCCAATGCAAAAGACATTTTTCAGCTACTTCGTATTTTAAGATGTCAGTGTGTAAACAAGATTAAAAATCATTGCACATCTCTACTTAACTAGAGTACAGCAAGTTTAATACTGTTCCCAGACTTTCAGTTTTCAATGCGCATCGGCCTGTTTCGTTAATTCACACTGTAAATACCCGGTACATGCTGCTTAGTTTCAAATTCTTGTAGGAATAAGAGTTTCTTCCAGAAACGGAAGACTGCACAGGCTCAGTATTGCAGTATACATGAACCCAGACCATAGTTAAAATCTACGGTGCAATATAAATTGTCTTTTCAGGGAAAGACAGAAATATAATTGGGACAAGCATATCAACTCCTATTAGGTGAGATTTTATTTCTCAGGAAAATAACAATGTCATTTGCAATGAATTTGCTTTAACGAATCATAAAGCAGCCTTGTTGGCACTCTCAGGTGAAATCTGCCTTATAATGACACATCATTAGCATATAGGCAAAAAATACCACATAATCAGTGAAGAGACGGAGTATCTACATACATTGCTAATTTGTGCAGTGCTCACGTGTTAAAAATCTTTCAGATTTCATCCCTTGAAGCTGACTATGCAGGGAATGAATTCTGCATAGACTTTGCATTGGTCACTAACGACATTACTAGAAAGGAAGTACGGTCTAGTAACTCAGGTCCATCTACCCTACCACATCACAAGAATGACTGCAGTGTGGCATAGCTTTAAGTTACAGCTACACCAGCAAGAAAACTGGCATGTGGTGATTTGCCAAACAGCACCTCCATAACTGGATCTCAAATATACTACGTACGGCATTGGAGCCATGAAATCCAAGACTCCTGAAAACTGACTGCAGCAGCAACTGTAGCAGGCATGAATAACATTCTTCCATGCCTAACATATAAAAAGGCAAATATCACAATAAAAGTAACACGAAAAGTTTAGGAGTTCATAAGGATACCAAAACAAGAACCAATTCGCTAATCTGAAGGCGCGTGATTCAATTCCCGTTGAAGTTGGCTGTGAACTTAGCAGTGGCTTCAATTACTTTTGCACAAGAAATAATTCTGACACCCTCCATTAAGAATGCCTACAACCGCAGCTACAATACCAGACACGTGGTGTTGCAGCTGCAGTTTACCAACACAAAGACCTCTCTGTGTAAAATAGAACTGTTTGAAGGTCATAAACCAAATTAACTCGCCCTGATGAAGCAAAGGCAGTCTACAGGTAAAGATCACTGTTTTGACCGACAGCTTATAAAAAAAATGACATTACAAAATACAAGAAAGAGGCGGGGAAAAAATCTCCCCAAAACCAAAACACACACATGCCTCTCCCCCCAGTACTATAAAAGTACATAGTTACTACAGTGAGTTTTCCACTCATCACGGATTTTTCTGGATTTTATTGCACTTCATGTATTCAAAGATAAATGTCAAACACCAAGAGTGGCAGAGAGTCTTGACTGGATATTATCAAAAGCAGTCAGCCTGTGTTCAGTTTCTCCAAGTTGGATATTTACATCTACCAACCACAAAAGTCCTAATACAATTTAATACTCTCATCTTTTATTTGCCAAAAAGACACAGATTATTTGTTACAAAGGAGGTACCTATAGGGTAACTGGATCTGGATTCTGGCATTTTCTGACTTGACTTTATGATGCAACATTAGGTTTCAAATTGGAGGAGACTTCAGTAATGTTGTGAAATACATGAAGTTAAATGAGATTTATCTTTGAAGGAGTGGGATACACAGTTGTTCATATACTACCATTAAGTAACCTTAAATGTGTTGGGATTTTTTTAAAGGTCAACATTAGAATAAAATTTTTCAAAATCCTTCCAAGAACTTCAAGTTCATATATAACACAATTCCTTAAAACCAAAATTTATCAGCAATTTAATTCAGCTTGAACTATATTTTTTGTAGACTACCAATCTTCATTCCCCAAAAAATTATTCAAAAACCTTTAACTCCCTAAACAGGATCAAGTTACAGAACTAAAAAACAGCTAGAAATGGAACTGGAAAGCACAGCGAAAAATTACCCAAAACTTACATAGCAGTTTCCAGAATATCTATTGAAAGCCATAATACTTTCATCAAATAAGCGATACAATAGAAAACATAAATAGTAACAGTAGCAAAGTCTTAAATATTATTTTCTTTTCAAGCTTGCTACTTACTGTAGAAACCCAAATCTATCTGTGACTTTGTAAAGACGGTAGTCAGCATCTTCCCATGGCTCAATCTGCGCACCCTCCCGTCCCTAAAGGAAAGAATAAAAAAAGACCAAAATTAAGTTTTATGAAGCAATAAACTAAGACACAGAAGACAGCATTCAACCACTCAAAGCATAATCTTTGGGATGCACTGGTACTAGGGCAAAGGAGGGAGAGAAAAACACCTGTTCTAAACTGACCAAGAAAGAAGAAAAAAGAAGGGGGAAAAAAAAAAAGTAACACATCTCTCCCATCCCCTACAAACCGTATTTTCATCCCAGGAAACCTCTTTTGGTCACTGCTATACACAGAATAAATTTCAACCACGGACCCATAGTAATCTCACATCTGTTGTTAACCTCCACAGTAGTCCGGCAAGGTCCCCACACAGTGCCTTCCACTCATTTTATTTCCATAATCCAACCTTCCCGAACCACCACCTGACAACACTACATGCTATGGACAGTCTCAAGCTAACACCCATGCTGACTTCCAGCAGCTGTCAAACAGAATGCAAGACCGAGTTTTCCCTCAATGAAGCACTCATTGATGTTCTTCTCTTCCACTCCAATTGTCAATTTTCGCAAGACTTGCGGAAATTTAAGTATATTTCAGCTATATATTCTTCCAGTACGGGCTATGTCCAGGTTACCGGGTGTGAAGAGAGGCCACCATTCAGAACATAAACCACGTATGTGTTTTTTCCTTATTAAAAAAACACAGCCACTTACTTGAGCACACACTGTACAAACCACCACTAAGTCTAGCATGTAAAATGTTTCATGAACTCTACAAACAAGTCTATTGCTCAGTACTCCAATGACATTTATAAAGTCCATAAGTGTTACAAGAATACGTGAACACAGTGTAGGCATTCTAGGCATACTCTGTGCAAGGCTTTTACTTGACAAGTGGGTAAAAAAAAAAAAAAAAAAAAAAAAAAAGGATATGACTAGGGTATTTCCTCAATTCCTGACAGCAGTCATAGAATCGTTTCAGTTGGAGAAAACCTTTAAGATCAAGTCCAACCGTTCCCCTAACCCTGCCATCCCACCACTAAACCATGTCCCTAAGCACCTCGTCTGCCCAGCTTTTAAATACCTCCAGGCATGGGGACTC